CCCCCGCCATTTACTTTTCCTTGGGTAGAAGAGGGAGTAGAGGAGTGACTTATCTGACCAGCCAGCAAGTGTGGGCTAAACACTGAGTATGTATGGAATTGCCTCAGCCTTTCTGGACCAAACCTGCCTACAGGAAACTGTTCCACTGGGCTCCTTTACTGGAAGTTTACCAGGAGAGACTTGGTGGGAGGGAGACATTTGTGGGTACAACTGTAAAGTCTTAGGGTACAGTTAGGAAATCTAGTGGTCCATAAATATAAGATACATGTTGCAATATGAGTTTTACTATCAATTTGTTCTTGTTGGTTGACACTGAGTTGACCCCTGACCCTATTCTGATCCATAGTGTTTCCATTAGTTGATTTTTCAGAAATAAATCACCAGGCCTTTAGTCTGTCTTAGTCTTGAAGCTTCACTGAGATCTGTTCAGTATCATAGCAACATGCAAACTTCCACTGACAAATGGGTGATGGCTGTGTTGGATGCACATTGCCTGGGAATCAAACCCAGAATTCCCACATGGAAGGTGCAAATTCTACCACTGGCCCACCATGAGTAATCCGAGGGAAGGCTTTTGTTCCCTGTGCTCAACTCCTGTTTCTCAATGGGTTCAAAGTTTTCACAGAAAAGATGGGTGCTATTTAACCAGTTGGAGTCCTGGTGTGGCACTGTGGGTTAATGTGCTGGACTACAAGGTCAGTTTGAACAGCAGTTGTCAGTTCAAACTCATGAGCCACTCCTCAGAAACCCTATACAGGGTCACTATGAGTCAGAACCAACTCAACAGCTCTTAACAGCAACAACAATTTAACCAGCTGCCATTGAGTCGATTCCAACTCATGTAACCCTGTGTGTGTCACACTAGCACTGTGCTCTATGCGGTTTTCAGTGGCTGACTTTTTACAAATAGATCACCTCTGAGTCAACTCAAACTTCCTACCTTTTGGTTAGCAGCCAAGCTTGTTAACTGTTTGTACCACCCAGGGATTCTGGGTACTATTTACTGCATTCCAAATCTTCAACTGGAGTCCTGGTGTGGTACTGTGGGATAAAGCACAAGGTCGGAGGTTCAAACTCACCAGCTGGTCCTTGGAAACCCTGTACGGAGTCACTGTGAGTCAGAACCAACTTGACAGCACTTAACAACAAATCTTCAGTTATTTGGAATATAATTATCTTGATATTTTCCAAACTCAAATATTGAAGTATATCTTTTCAGGACTGATGTGGGACTGTAGGATATGCACTGGACTGGTAACTACTATGTTGGCAGTTCAAACCCACCAACTGCTCTGTGGCAATCCCATACAGGGTCACTATGAGTTGGAAACGATTCCACAGCAGTTAACAACAGTGCTGTGTATAAACTTCCTTGTTTATAACCATTACCTCTCAAAACTGGCCATTTTGCTACATTTTGTTCTGACATTGAGTATGACAGGAGAGCAGTCTGGAGTCAGCTTGTGCTGCTTCCCTGTCAGTAAAGATTCCCCCGCATGGAGTTTTTAAAAAGGCATTGTAAAACATTGCTAATACATTTTCAGGTTATACCTAGAGGTAGCTCTCTTTTCATTGATTTTACCTGGAATGTGTTTATTCATTTTCACTTTTCATGCAAGAAGTAAATACTTGTTTACTTAAAGCAAGTAGGAATACTTTGTTGCCTTGGAATATAATTTGTCTGCAGCTGTTTTTGTTTTGCCATCACACAACTATTATTTCAGGTGGGCGCTCCAATTCTGCCTCCCATGTCAGTCATCTTCTCCCTTTCATTTCTTTGTCCTTCCCCCTGCATTTTGACACTTGATCGAGTTACTTTTCACCTTCTCTAAATCTGCTTTTTACCATGCTACTTACTAACTCTGCTTCTATGTCTATGCTTGGTATATAATATGTGTTCAATTCATGTTTCCTGAAGAAATGAATAAGTTCTATAGCATTTTTTAAGGAGCTCTGGTAGCGTAGTGGTTATGAGTCAGGCTGCTAACCTCAAGGTCAGCAGTTCGAAACTACCAGCTGTTCCACAGGAGAAAGATGAGGTTTTCTGCTCCCATAAAGATTTACAGCCTCGGAAACCCTATGGAGGATCACTATGAGTCAGAACCGACTTCATGACACACTACCACCACCACCATTGTATTTTTTGTTTTTTGGGGTTTTTTTCTTCTCTCTTGTACCTCATCTCATTTAATCCCATTATTTTTGACATCTGAGTTACACCTTTCTGATGTTCTGTACCCATTTCATAGAGCTATACTATCATTTTGCATCCTAGAAGCATACCAAACAAGTTTTGCTGTGTTCTTAAAAACAAAGGTTTGTCCTTTCTCTAAATCTTCAGAGTGATGCTTTCTTCTCTTTAGTTAGAAATAATTTTCTCCTTAAGGCTCATGTTTCACTCTAATTTCTCCTACTAGAATGAGGTGGGCTCTATTCAGATCTTGGTTAATATGCAAAATGTATTTTTTTCACTTGACCCATTCCAAGCGATATGGATGGAGTTGCCTTCTCAGATCTATGTCTGAGCAGTGAGTTGATGTACACAATTTCTAGGGCAATCCTCAGTCTCTAGTGGAGCTTTCACCTATCAGAGATATCCTGGAATGCCCTGGAGGTCTTGTCTGCCCCAGTGCATGACTTGTGGATGCTCTGAGCAGATGGAGTTCATAAAACAAGGCAGTCTCCCGGGCGCTGCCAATACTTCCCGACTGTTTCCACCGCAGCGACTATGGGAATCGAGCCTCCCAGGGTGAAATACAGTCCCCCCATACTTCCTGCCCAGTTGTTTCTTGAAAGTGTTTCATTCTGCTGAATATAGAAAAGAGAAGCACAGATGGGAACCAGGCAAACCCTTGCTGCTTCAACAGAAACATTAACACAGGAGAGAGAAGACTATCCATTTTTCATTTGGTGCAGATCTTAAATTTTTGAATGATGGTTGTAAAAACTGGCTCATCTTCAACTTGTTTCTGGTTAACACAGCACAGAATAGATCGCTAGTTGTATCTTCCAAGTCAGCTTCTTGGGCTTTATACCAACTGAAAAATTCTTTCAGTTTAGTACTGTAACATTTGGTGATGATTTTCAAACGCAAGCTCTGGAAAAGCATCCCGGCTTCTCTACTCGCCCATTTTGACCTTGAGAAAGTTACTTCACATCTCCAAACCTGGTTTGCTCATTTGTAAAATGGAAATTATAATGGTATTCACTTCATCAATATATTACAAAGAATAATTTGGGTTAAAACTCTTGAGTAGAAAAAGTATACGTACTCAATAGGGGTTAACTATCTTGTTTTTACTAGTATTATATGTTTTCATTCAAGAGCAAGTTGCACAATCCCTTCTGACATCCAGTTTGTTTTATTCTTTTTGTTTCCTATCTTTTAAATAACCTTTTCCTTTTTCCTGGATGATGTCCTGTATGGTATCCCACTAGTCTGGTCTTCAGTCATCAGTACACACGGTGTCAAACCTATTCTGGACAAGCTTGCTAAATTCAGTTGGGATATACTTCAGGTTGTCCTTTGTTTTTCCTTGATTTGTTTAAATTTGCTTCTGCTTCAACTTGAACTTGATCTGAGCAATTGATGGTCTATTTTGCAGTCAGCCCCCAACCTGGTTTTCTATCCTCTTTTTTCTACAAAAGTAATCTATTCGATTACTGCCACCTCCATCTGGGGACTTCCATGTGTATAGTTGGTGATTGTTTTGTTGTTATGTGCTGTGGAATAAATTCTGACTCATAGTGACCCTGTACAGGGTTTCTGAGGTTGTAAATCTTTATGGGAGCAGAAAGCCTCATCTTTCTTCCTCAGAACAATTGGTAGTTTTGAACTGCTGACTGTGAGATTAGCAGCCCGATTCGTAACACTACACTACCAGGAATTTGTAATGAATAAGTATTTGATCTTGCAAATTTCTATCGTATGATCTCCAGCATCTCAACAAGGTCATATTTTCCAACTTCTTATCCTTCCTTTTCATTTCCAACTTTCTTATTTCAAAAAATCAAAAAACAAACCTACTGTCACTGAGTTGATTCCAATTCATAGTGACCCTGTATAGGGTTTCCAAGGCATCTTAATTATATGTTTGATTAATTTCAGACTGCAGAGATGGATAAAAATCTTCAATCTCTTCATCTTTGGCATTTGTGGTTGGGGTGTAAACTTAAATAATAGTTGTATTATCTCATCTTCCTTTTAAGTGTATTTGTTGTTGTTAAGTGCTATAGAGTCAGTTCTGACTCACAGCAACCTTATATAAGGTTTCTGAAAAGTTGCAGGTAAGTTTGAAACAACAACCTTGTAGTTCCAACTGGCTGTGTGGTCCAGTGTATTATCCTATCACAAATAGCATTATGTTTCAAGATGATCTTAATGTATTCTTTTTGACGATGAATAAGATGCCATTACTCTTCAATTTGTCATTCCTGGCATAGTAGGCCACATGTTTGTCTGATTTAAAATAGCCAATACCAGTCCATTCTAGCTAACTAATGCCTAAAAGACCAATATTCCAATGTTCCATTTCATTTTATACAATTTTCTATTTTCCTTGATTCATACTTTATACATTTTATGTTCTGATTATTAATGGATGTTTGGAGCTATTTCTTCCCATTTGTTGTTTTTGTTATTGTTTAAGTGCTGTCGAGTTGGTTCCATCCCATAGTTACCCTGTATAGGGGTTCCAAGTCGCTGCAGGTGAGCTTGAACCACCAACCTTGAGGTTCAAACCAGTTCTTGCAATCCAGCACATTAACCCATAGTGCCACACCAGGACTCCACATCATTAAGACCAACTCTATTTTGAGGAGGTAGCTTTTCTCCAGTTGTTATTTTGAGTGCCTTCCAACCTGAGGGGCTCATCTTCCAATACTATATCAGGCAATGCTTTTCTACTATTCTTAAGGTTTCACTGGCTAATTATTTTTCAGAAGTAGATCATCAGTCCTTTGAACAAAGAGTAGCTAAATCAAACAGAAGAAATGATGAATTAAAAGAGCTGAACAGAAGACTTCAATTGGAAGCTCCAGAAGATGAAATAAAGTATTCTAATGAAATATGCAAGGACCTGGGTTTTGAAGAACCAAAAGAGAAGAACTTGCTCGGAATGTCACAAGCTGAAAAAATACATGCCTCAAATTACAATTGTTGTTGTTATTGTTAAGTGCTGTCGAGTTCATTCCAACCCTATATAGGGTTTCCGGGGAGCAGCTGGTGAGCTTGAACTGCTGACCTTGCAGTTCAAATGGCTTTGCAGTCTGGCACATTAACCCACAGCACCACAAGGGTAAAATATCAAATGCCAACAAAGCATCAAAAAAAACAGATGAAGGTCAATGAAACAATAGGGACAAACTTAGAGACTCTGATACATGGCATAAATACATTATCAAACACAAGTGAAAACAAACAAACGGAAGAAGACAAACTTGATGATTCGGGCCTCCTAAAAATTAGTCATTTGCATGCATGAAAAAAGTAAAAAGAAAAACCACAGACTGGGAAAAAATAGTAGACAATGGCATATCAGACAAGGATCTAATCTCTAAAATGTATAGAAAACTTCAACACCTAAACACAAAAAAAGACAAATAATTAATAACAGGCAGGGGACATGAACAGACACGTCACCAAAGAAGGCATTCATCAGTCAACAAACATATGAAGAAATGCTCTGGATGATTAGTCATTATTGTTATTAGGTACCTTGGAGTCTGCTGTGACCTTATGCACAACAGAACAAAACACTGGCAGATCCCTGCAACATCCTCACAATTCTTGTTACTTTTCAGTCCATGGTTGCTGCCACTGTGTCAGTCTATTTCGTTGTGGGGGGTGGGGTGGGGGGTGGAAAGGAGGCTTTCTCTTTTTTTCTGTCCCTCTACTTTTCCAAGAATGATATCTTTCTCCAGGGACTGGTCCTTGCTAACAAGTCCAAAGTCTGAGAAACAAAGTCTCACAATCAAGGAGTATTCTGGCTGACCTTCTTCCAAAACAGATTAGTTTGTTCTGCTAGCTGTCCATGGTACTGTCAGTATTCTTCTTTAACACCATAGTTCAAATGCACTGAATTACAGTCTCGCTTATTCACTGTCTTATGTTCACATGCATATAAGGCAATTGAAAATACCCTGCACTGGGTCAGGCTCGCCTTAGTCCTCAAAGGGACATACTTGTTCTTTAACACTTCAAAGAGATCTTTTGCAGCAGATTTACTCAATGTCATATATTCTTTGATTTTCTGACTGCTGCTTCCATGAGCACTGATTATGGATCCAAGCAAAATGAAGTCTTAAACAACTTCAATCTTTTCTCCATTTATTTTGATGCTATTTATTGGTTCAGTTGTAAGGATTTTCTTTTCTTTGCACTGAGGTGTAATCCATATTGAAGGCT